GGAAGTCAAACCAGACGCTACAGTAACTGGACGCAACTGGAACCGGCCCAACTGGAACAAGGGCGCAACTGGGAACAGGACCAACGGGGAACAGGACCTACAGGTAACTGGACGGCAACTGAACAGGACTACAGGTAACTGGGCCAACTGGACTGGACACAACTGAAAACCGGACCAAACTGGAACTGGACTACAGTAACCTGACAACTGGAAGCCGGACCGGACAGTAGGCACTGGACCGAAGTGAAACAGGGGCCAACTGAATACAGGACCTAACAGTAAGCTGGAACCAACTGGAACAGGACAATCTGGGTACTTGGCCCAACTGAACAGGTCCACCTGGAACGGACCTAACAGTAACTGGGCCCAACGGAAAGGACCTACAGTAAACTTGACAACTGAACAGGACGCAACTGGAACAGGACTACCAGTAACTGGACTATCAGTAACTGGCGACCAAGCTGGAACAGGACCAACAGGAACAGGACCTACATTAACATGGACCAAAATACTGGAACTGGACCCAAGCCGGAAACAGGAACCAACAGGAACAGGACGCTACAGTAAACTGTCGCAACTGGAACATGACCCGCCTAACAGGCAATGGACCTAACTGATACTGCCCACTGAAACAGGACCAACTTAAAACAGATCGCTACAGTAACTGGACCCACTGCAGGCAACTGACAACTGAAACGGACCAACTGGAACAAGGACCTACAGTAGCTGGAGCCCACTGGAAACTGGGACGGCCAACTGGAAAATGGACCTAACAGTAAACGGACCCAAACTGCAACAGGACGCTACCAGTAAGCTGAAGCCCGCACTGGGAACAGGAGCCTACAGTAATCTGGGACCAACCTGGAACTGGACGCGTACAGTAACTGGACCAACTGGAAGCAGCGACCTACAGTAACTGGACGCAATGAAAGCAGGAACCAACTGGAACAGGAGCCAACCCTGAAGGCAGGACCACAGTAACTGGGACCTACAGTGAACAGGTCAAACTGGGGCGAAACTGGGGCAACGGAACCAGGACCAACCGAAACCAGGACCTACAGTAACTGGACCAAACCTGGAACCGAGCCTACAGTAAGCTGGCCAACTGGGAACTGGACGCAACTTGAACAGGACGCTACAGTTAACTGAGGACCAAACTGGAACAGACCAACCGGAACAGAACCAACAGGAACTGGTCCTATAGTAATCTGGACGGCTACGGGCACAGGGCCAACTGAAACAGGACTACAGTTAACTGGAGCAACCCCTGGAACTGGAAACAACCTGGACCAGGTCCAAACTGAAAAACAGGTCCTAACCAGTAACTAGACCTACTGGAACTGGACCCCCACTGGACCCACCGTGGAACTGGACGCAACTGGGAACTGGACCTACAAATAACTGACCAGACTGGGAACTGGGACCTACCAGAACCGGACCAATCTGGACAGGACGCAACTGGAAACGTTGAAAATGGCCAACTTGAAACAACCTGGACCAACTGGAACAGGACTAACAGTAACTGGTCCAACTGAACAGGACCAACTGACAGGACCAACAGAACACTGAGCCGGCAACTGGGGAACAGGACCACTGGAACGGGAGCAACTGTAACTGGGCCTACCCCTAACAGAACGCATAACATAACTGGGCCCTACGGTACAGGTCGCAACTGGAACAGGGCCAACTGGAACAGGGCCAACTGGACAGGACCTAACAGTAACTGACCAACGTGGAACAGAGGCCAACAGGAAACAGGAGACCAACCAAAAGTAAACAGGAACCAACTGGAAACATGGACCTACAGTTACTGGGGACCCTAACTGGAACTGGACCAACCTGGCACAGGGCAAACTGGAACAGACCTACAAGTAACTGGACCACTGGAACAGGGCCAACTGGAACGGGACCTAACTGAACTGACCAACGGTAACAAACCTTACAAGAAACTGGAGCCGAACTGGAACAGGGCACTGAAGCAGGACCAACATGGAACTGGAGCGCAAGCAACTGAAACAGTGACCCACTGGAACTGGAAGTCAACCTGGAACTGGACCCAACTGGGAACTGGAACCAACTGGGAACAGGACGCTATCAATAATGACGCAACTGGAACTGACTACAGTACCAGATCACAAAATGAACAAGGACCAACTGGTACTGTACGAAGTGGACCAACAGTAATATACAAATTTGAAACAAGGCACCCATATTAGTATTTTTGTTCGAAAAGTTCTTTGTTGTAGCGTATTTATTTGCTGTACACAAAATTTGGTTCTTACTTTTGTTTACTAATGGTGGATTTAAGTGTCCTGTTACCCAATTAACTCAGGCCCGCCCAATATGAAAAATATTAGGATACCATAATATTGATATTGGCAATGCTGGCATTACAGTAACATGACCATGAGTAGCACACCCGACACTGGCACAGCGCCTCAACCGGCCCAGAATCAAACTGGTAGGGAATGAGTACTGGAACACGCTGTAATTGTGTTGGGCTTAACAAGACACTGGTCAAGCAACTTTCGCTTAGGCATCTGTAAAATTTGAACTTTTGCATTGTTCACGAAAGCTTTATTGCGTATACTAGGTAGCTCTACAAAAACAAACTTTGTATATATTTACAGGCGTTATGAAATTTTTTTTAGTTCTGTTATAAAGTTAACCACAAGTTTCATCGATATGTCATACATTTAAAGGCAAGTATATGTTGTTAACCATGAGCAGTTGAATTTGTATTTTAAATGGCTCCGCACAACACAACATGACAGGAAGACCCACCCGGGAACGGATTCAAATAACTCCAACAGGTTTCAGAGCCAACAGGTAGGACAGCATTTACCAACGTACTTTAACTACTGTATGTATATTAAAGACAGCAAGAAAACGTTTATTTTAACTGTAGTGTACTAATAACCTCATTTATTTGAGATCGCAATCGCCTCCATGAAACGTATCCATTCCTACTTTTATTTCATTGTTATTATTTATTTCGACCAGATTTAAAACCATTTGGTTTGGCTGGTGATTTCGAATTTATTTCTACTTTTCAAAATGTTCATTAACATTACATTTTTATACATTTATTTTACTTTCTTCCTGAAATTTATTTGATGGATAGGTTTTTATTTGAGTTACAGTCACAGGTCCTAAACTGGGAACGTACGACGCTACAGTAACTGGAACCCAGACTGGAACAGGCCCAAACTGGTTACTGGCCGCAACTATAACAACAGGTCCCAAGCTGGAACAGGGACGCTAAACAAGTAACTGGACCAAACTTGGAACAGGCCCGAACTGTGTACTGGCACCAACTGTAAGCTAGGTCCAACTGGAAACGAACCTAAAACAGTAACAGTGCAAACTGGAAACAGGACGCTAAACAGTAACGCTGGTCCAACTGGAATCAGGACCGCAAAATCTGGGAACTGACAACTGGGAACAGGACGGCTAAAACAGGAACTGGCCCAACTGAAATGGACGCCAAACTGACAAACAGACTACAGTAACTGTAACCAGCTGAACAGGACCTACAGTAAGCTGGACGCACCTGGAATCTGGACGCACTGGAACAGGACCTATACAGTAACGGACCAATCTGGAAGCAGGACGCAACTGAAACAGGACCTATAGTAAACAGTCCAACTGGAACAGGACCTACAGTAACAGGTCCACTGGATACAGGAACCAACTGGTACTGCCACTGTAACAACCGACTGAACAGGACCTACCAGTAACCAGGACCAACTGGGAACTGGACCAACTGGACAGGACAACTGGAACAGGATCCCACTGGAACAGAGTCCACGACTGTAAAGAACAGACTCCAACACTGTACACAGGGACCGGCTACAGTAAACAGGTCCAAACGGAACTGGACCGACACCTGAAAAAACAGGAGCCCCTACCAGTAACTGGGCCCCCCAAAAACCCCTGGGAACTGCGGACAAACCTGAAACAGGAAACCTACAGTTAACTGGACGCAACTGGAACTGGACCCAACTGGATACAGGACCTACAGTAAACTGGAACGCAACTGAACAGGATCAATCTGAAAGCAGGCCGAACTGAACAGGACGGCTACAAGTAACTGGACCAACATGGAAGCTAGGACGCTACAGTAACTGTGAACAAACCTGGAACAGGACCCAAACAGAAACAGGTCGCAACTGGAAGCAGGCCAACTGAACCAGGACGCAACTGGAACAGGACGTACATAACTGGGCCAACTGGAACCTAACCACTGTAACAGGCTACAGATAACTGGATCGCAACTGAAAACAGGACCTACAGTAAACAGAACACATACTGGAAGCAGACCAACTGAACAGGCCAACATGAACAGGACCGACTGAACAGGAACCTACAGGCAACAGGTCGCGCAACTGGAACAGACCTAACAATAACATGTCCCATACTGAACAGGACGCAACTGAAACAGGTCCAACTGGAACTGGACCAACTGGAACTGGACCAACCTGGAACAGGACCTACCAGGAACTGGGCCAACTGGAAACTGGACGCAACTGAAACAGGACTACAGTAACTGTAGCCAACTGGAAACAGGACCTACACAACTGGAACGCAACTGAACTGGAACCGCAACTGGAACAGACCTTTTACAGTAAACAGGACGACTGGAACAAGGACCTACACTAACTGGACCGGGCATACTGGAACTGAAACTGGAAGCAGGAACCTACAGTAACAGGACGCGACTGGACAGGACCTACTGTAACCTGGTCCGAACTGGAAGCGGACCTACAGTAACTGACAAACTGGAACCAGGACCCAATCACGACACATGGACCAACTGGAAGCAGGACCTTACGTAACAGGACCGACTGGAAGCAGGAAACCTAACAGTAATCAGTGACGCAACTGGTACTGGGCCCCAACTGTACAGGACCAAGGACTGGAACAGGACCTGACGTAACTGGCCAAACTGGGAACAAGGACCTACAGTAACGGGTCCGCAAACTGGAAGCAGGGCCTAACAGGTAACAGGTCGCAACTGGAAGCAGGACCTACTGGAAAGGCCAGGACGCAAACTGAACAGGACCGTACCAGTAACAGGACCGGAGCTGGAACAGGACCTACACAAACTGGGCCAACTGGAACTGGGAACCAACTGCAAGACAGGAACCTACAGTAACTGGGCCAACTGGAACTGGACCAACTGGAAACAAGGCACCTACAGTAACAGGACCAACTGGAACAGGACCTACCAGTAACAGGTTCCAACTGGAAACAGGACCAACTGAAACAGGAGCCTACAGTAACTGGAACCAACTGGAACAGGACACCTACCAGTAACAGGACCGACTGGAACAGGACCTTACAGTAACTGGGCCCAAACTGGAACTGGACCTACAGTAACAGGACCAACTGAACTGGACCAACTGGAAGCAGGACGGCAACTGGAACAGGACACGCACTGAAGCAGGTCCACTGGAAGCAGGACCACCTGAAACAGGACCTATAGTAACAGGTCCAACCTGGAAGCAGGACCTATAGTAACAGGTCCAACTGGAACAGCGACCTCAGTAATCTGGAACAGGACCAACTGGAACAGGTCCAACTGGAACAGGTTATACTGAAACAGCACCAACTGGAACAGGACCAACTGGAACAGGTCCAACTGAAACTGGGCCAACTGAAACAGGACCAACTGGAACAGGACCAACTGTAACAGGACCAACTGGAACAGGTCCAACTGAAACAGGTCCAACTGGAACAGGACCAACTGGAACAGGACCAACTAGAACAGGACCAACTGGAACAGGACCTACAGTAACAGGTCCAACTGGAACAGGACCAACTGGAACAGGACCAACTAGAACAGGACCAACTGGAACAGGACCTACAGAAACAGGTCCAACTGGAACAGGACCATCTGTAACAGGACCTACAGTAACAGGTCCAACTGGAACAGGACCTACAGTAACAGGTCCAACTGGAACAGGACCAACTGGAACAGGACCTACAGTCACAGGTCCAACTGGAACAGGACCCACAGAAACAGGACCAACTGGAACAGGACCAACTAGAACAGGACCAACTGGAACAGGACATACAGTAACAGGACCAACTGGAACAGGACCAACAGAAACAGGTCCAACTGGAACAGGGCCAACTGGAACAGGACCAACTGGAACAGGACCTACAGTAACAGGACCGACTGGAACAGGACCTACAGTAACTGGGCCAACTGGAACTGGACCAACTGAAACAGGACCCACCGTAACAGGACCAACTGGAACAGGGCCAACTGGACCAGGGCCAACTGGAACAGGACCTACAGTAACAGGACCAACTGGAACTGGACCAACTGGAACAGGACCAACTGGAACAGGACCCACTGGAACAGGTCCAACTGGAACAGGACCAACTGAAACAGGACCTATAGTAATTTATTTGTCAATATGAACGAAGTTACCACTATACGAGATTAAATAACATCTACCTGGATGACGTCATAGCGCCGCGGTTGTCCGTGTCATTGCAGATATGAACGAGTGCTTGCTAGGCATTGATGATTGCGACGACAACGCTCTCTGCGTCGACGTCATGGGCAGTTACCGCTGCACATGTCCCACAGGTTTCACCGGCGACGGTCGCCTATGCACAGGTAGCCAGCACTCACCGAACAACAGAATCTGCAATAATAATAATAATAATAATAATAATAATAAAGTTATTATTATTATTATTATTATTATTAATTTAATTCTGATACCTTAATGATTAGTTCGAGAAAACATTGACTTTCAAGTGCTTTTAATTTACCATCAGTTAAATCAGGTCTGAAAGACCTACAGGTATTACATACGTGAAATAGCACTGATTTTACGAAATTTAAAGTGAACACATCTGCGGTACTTTCATTTAATAACGGTGTTCTGTTATCATATTGATGTATATATATATATATGTATACATGTATATATGTATGTATATATTGATGTGATATTATATATGTTGTTATTTGATCTGTAGACAATGATGAGTGTGCGCTAAACACTGACAACTGCGACCTCAAGGCTGACTGTGACAACACAGAGGGTAGCTTCCGATGTCAGTGCGCGCCGGGCTACGAAGGAGATGGAACGCAGTGCCTTGGTATAATGTTTAAAGTATTTACATGAGAAGATTGGTGATTATCATGTGCTAATTGTCTCAGAGAATTATCATTTTTTAGTTGCGTTTTACACAATAATACGCAGAGTGCGGGTATTGATTCCCGGTGGAACATCACGTAATGTTCCTGTCGTGCTCCCGATGTTCTTAAGTCATCTGCAATATTCGTTCTGTTCAAAATTTGTTCTCGATACATTTTAAATGCTCCCAACCTGTTCGCGTTTTACACGTCATTGAATATATACCGTTTTTGATTGTGATTGATTTTGTGTTTGATTTTTGATTTGATTTTGATTACACCGACATTATGATTCTGGTAACTAATCATCGGTCATGTATATCGCATTTTAGAGACCAATGAATGCCAGCTAGGGTTGGACGACTGTAACGCCCGGGCCGCCTGTAGCAACACTGATGGAAGCTACGTGTGTGACTGCGACACCGGTTACCAAGGAGACGGTGTCATCACCTGCAGCGGTGAGTGATTGCCGAAGCGGGCTTCGAAATGGTTTAATTTATTGAATTTTAATTTAATTTACATCAACATAATTTTAACTTTAAACTAGTTATGAATTTTTCATACGGGTTTTAAACTCCAAGAATTTATTTCTAACGCTATTTTTTCAACCTGATATGCGCCAATAGCTCGATATTGTATTTTTTAATTAAAAATTCTACTTGTGCATGTGCGAGTGTAGGATAACCAGAATGACTGGACTTTTCTCTCCTGTATCAGATATCGACGAATGTCGTTCGGGACTTGACAACTGCGATGCGAACGCACTATGCACAAACACTGATGGTCGATTCAACTGCGAATGTGACATCGGCTATTCAGGCAATGGAGTGAACTGCCTTGGTATGTCTCACTCAACTAACGCATAATGTTTGCGCAAAGTTAGGATCTGGTTTTACTATGGTTTGGTTTTTAACGTTTTCAAACTATAAAACAGCAAGGTTATATATGTAGTTTATTCACAAATATATCAAAAATGTTTTATTGGCGTTTAATTAACGTTTTTTTTAAATATTTTGCGTTAATTATATAAAAAATATCCTTCTGATTCCTTCCTGATGTTTACTAATTGTTTTGTTTCTTGTTGCTACAGATGTGGACGAGTGTGACGAGAACCTTGATGATTGCCACAGTGAGGCTGTATGCTCTAACACTCAGGGCAGCTTTCTGTGTGACTGCAGGGACGGATTTACAGGCAACGGCCTCTCATGCAGTGGTAGGTGTAAGCTGCGTGTCATTGTTATATGTCTCCATTACACGACATTTATTGTGAGCAAAGTTTCAACTTTCAAGAAATATTAAATCAGTTTTCTAGTTATATAGTCTTACATTTTAATCCCAGGCACTTATGCAGAGTTGCATAGAACTAAATATATTGAATAATTATCTTAAACAGTTAAATAACCTATTATGTGGACATGTATGGGGGTTATATCTAACATATTCACATCACACACGGGACATTGATTACATTTTCATTTCAAACTCACTCTTGTCCAATGTGCATGTGGGTTTAACTGCGTTATGCTGAGTTTGACTTAGTAGAAGTGAAGTAAAAGCTGAGCAAAGTTCGCAGGTGTGAGTAAGAATATTTTTTAAGCAGTTTTTCCCACTTCATGCAGAGCTAATGTTGTCTTTGTGTTGTTCTTAGATGTTGACGAGTGCGTGAACCAGATGTGCAAGTCATCTCAGATGTGCTTCAACTTTGTTGGATCGTTCAGCTGCGGTTGTGACGAAGGCTACGTGATGATAGATGAAACCTGCATTGGTAGGTTTACGTGCTTAGTTAAATCTCACGTTTTCCTGCTACTTGTCATACTAGTAACAGCAGGAATGGAAGCAGTAGTAGGAGCAGCAGCAACGGTAGCAGCAGCAGTAGTTGTAGCTAGAGTAACAGCAGCAGCAGCAGTAGTTGTAGTAGGAGTAGCAGTAGTTGTAGCTGCAGTAGCAATATATAGCAGCAGCAATGGTTGTAGTAGCAGTAGCAGTAGCAGTAGTAGAATCTTTTTACCGATTTTGTTTACCAATTTATTACCACTAAGCGTGACATTACAAAATATCATGAACGTGATCTTTGGCTGTAATAGATCACAGTTTATGGAATGCTAGACCAGGCATCCTACACTGGTATCATGTCGAGGAACTATCGTAAACACCAACTTTACCTTACAGATATGAATGAGTGCTTGCTACGCGTTGACACGTGTGATAGACTCGATGGAACATGCGTCAACAGGCCAGGATCATTCGAATGTCGCTGTAACAGCGGATTCAGTGGAGATGGGACAAACTGCATGGGTAATATTCGCACAGAGATTTGCTACAGATTGCAACAGCTACACGTTTTTGTTTTTTCACACCCATATGTTTCATTCTTTTATGATGTTTGTGTAATACGTCATGTCGATGGAAAGAACCAAAATGCTAAATGCGGGAATTTTGAATTATGTTTTAGTAATCATGTGGAGAGAACTTGAAGAACTATTCTAAAGCGTTAATCAGGATATCTTGCTATGTTTGCCCCTCAACAACCCATTGGAAGTTATGTAAATATATACTGCGAATTCGGTATTCGTATAATAACTGTGATACTTTCTTTCAGATGTGGACGAGTGTGACCTAAGAAGGGACAACTGTGACGAAAATGCACAGTGCTTCAACAACAGAGGCGGCTTCGACTGCGAATGCGACCCCGGTTACCTTGGAAACGGCGTCTCCTGTAGTGGTACGTCACATCCTGTGCCATCAGCACCGCATCTGTCAGATCGCGGAAACGTAGTAGTTGAATTCCAGAGCGTTCCTACTTTTCAAACACACGTTAGATGACTTACTCATGATTGCTTCACTTAGTAAACGAATGCTCCGTTGATCATATATATCGTTACTGTCCGCATTTCGTTAATTCATGGCATTCCTGTTATAGTAGCAGCAGTAGCAGGAACTATAGCAGAAACAATAACAATAGCAGAAACAGTAGAAACAGCAGCAATAATAGCAGTAGTAGCAGCAGTACCAGCAATAGTAGCAGCAGTAGTAGCAGTAGTAGCAGCAATAGTAGCACTAGAAGCAGCAGCAACCGTAGCAGTAGCAGCAGCAGCAGCACCACCATATATAACCACCACCAGCAGCAGCCAGCTTTGCTGGAGTTTTCACCATCATTGTAGACTTGGCGGCTACATGAATGTGAATTACTAACACGGTACTACTAATTGTAGCACCGTGTTAGTAGTTTACATCCGTGTAGCTGCCATGAAGTTACCCAGAGTCACTCATGTAACACAGAGTTTGCTTACTGTGCTTTGCATGGTTACAGATGCTAACGAATGCGCGGACGGACTGGACACGTGCTCACTGCGTGCCGACTGCTTCAACACTGATGGCAGCTTCCTCTGTGAATGTGAGGAGGGCTTCAGCGGAAATGGCATCGTCTGTGCAGGTAGCCCTGTGTTTTAATTAATTAAAAAAAGAATAAATAAATAAATAAATAAATGCATATATATATATATATTATATTTAATTGCCATGGCAGTGACACAATCACGGGCATTTCTTGAAGGAAACTTTGTGTGATTAACAATTCCTGATTTTGTACAAGAAACACAATTTTCATATGTTGAAATAATAATTTCATGTATACACTTACACAGATAACAACGAGTGTTTGACTGGTGGGCACAACTGCGACAAGAACGCAAGATGTACAAACGCACCTGGAACATTTACCTGCGCCTGTCTGGAAGGCTACAGTGGCAACGGCGTCTTCTGTGCAGGTAAATGATACGATCGAACAAAACAGTACCGGATCTGAGTTATTTAATATTTACTTGGGAAGGTTACAGCTGATAGTGCGACCCATGCTGTGGCGGTTTGAGAGAGTTACGACGTGTGTGCTGTTCCATTCATAATTCCTCATCTTTTATCTAATTAAAATTATCTTATCATTTTCAATCCATCGATCATCATCGATCATCGATCGGTCACTGATGATTGATCATCGATCACTTATCAATTAAATTAATTTTATCATTCTCCCCTAACGCTTTGCAGATACGGATGAATGCGCTTCTGGTACTGACAACTGCGACGTCAACGCAGAGTGTACCAACACTGTCGGATCCTATTCATGTGCCTGCAAACCAGGATACACCGGCGATGGCGTCACCTGCACTGGTGAGTCTCCCTTCCTTTAGCACTAGAAGTGAGGTAATCCCAAGCCTGCCATAACATCACTTCATTATGTATACGACACTCAATGAACGAATTATGGTTACCAATTAGACGCAATTCAAAAGCCACTGTAGCCGAACTCAGCGATTGACTCTAAACAACTCCTCTACGCATATACTTGCAAATACAATTGACGGTGTAGTTAAAAAAAGCTGCTAGAAAGATCTCACATTGAAGCTAACAAATGCATGATTCAAACGGTATTACCTCCATACCGATCAGTTACTACCTACCTACCTACCTACCTACCTACCTACCTACCTACCTACCTACCTACCTACCTACCTACCTACCTACCTACCTACCTACCTACCTACAGTTACCTACACAGTGAACTGTCCTTGCAACTTGATTACAGTCGCTTGCATGTTGATGACTTTTTAGATACGAATGAGTGCTCGGATGCTAGCGATAACTGCCACGAGGATGCTGAATGCATCAACACAGACGGCTCCTACCAGTGCAAGTGTCGCGATGGCTTCCGAGGCAATGGGCAGCAATGTTCAGGTAACAGAAATAATTCGTGCAACAAAAGAATGACTTTCACTGCTTCATACCTTTTATATACGCTTCGCTGGACACCACTAAAACGCATTGCTTGTAAGTTTGGCCAGTTGATAAAATAATCACGTAGAAACAGAGAGTAGAGCAAACGACAGTTGATAACAGTCTGTATTTCATTCTGCGAATAATCACCATTTCAGATGCTGACGAATGTTTCGAACAAAGCCACAACTGTGACAGTAGACTACCTCAGCGATCGCTCTGCACAAACACCGTCGGTAGCTTCACCTGTAACTGCTTCACTCCTTACTGGGAGGGAGATGGCGTCGTCTGCACAGGTAAATAGCTGTCGTATGGTGGTCTGTGTATCTGCATGTTGCTGCGAGCGATGTACGAAGAGTGGATGCGAGTATGCGTGGTTTAGGTTAGCAGTGTGTGTTGTAGGAAGCTATGTAGCGATATTGTGTATGATCGCAGACATAAACAAAGATATACTTATCCATCGTAGCGATCTCATTGTAGTCAGCGATGACGTCATCATAATAGCTATTTTATTTACTAGCCAATAGACGTAAATAACTAGTAACCTTTTGAATAGCTTAGGATTTCAATTAGCCATAAGATGGATGATAGTTACATGACAGTAAACAAATAGAATTTAAACAGCATCTACATAATTCACTCCCATAAAAAATAAACAGAAGGCATCTGTTCGGAGGTTTTAAAGTTGTTTACTTTCGCTTGTTTATACAGATGTTGATCAGTGTAAGCAGCAGCCACCACCCTGTCCTGACGTGATGATGTGCGTCAATCTAGAAGGCGCTCCAGGATTCTCCTGTAGTGGTAAGCAATCTGAGAACATACAAGTAGTACTCGACAACTACAAAAATACATTTGCGTTGACAGAAAATTGTGTAATAAACGACGGTAGATCATCGCTACTAGTGGGTCCACTTGTCAGGTTAAAGACGGAATTTAATTCAGTCAGCGCAGTGAATTTTCTCAGGGTCTAACGATTTGGCATTTCATGCTGTAAACTCCCTCCTATCTGTGACCGCAGGTAATGGCAAGTCCGTTTCCATTGGTACCTAAAAGAGCATCTAATGAGAAACTATATAACCTTAACAGTTACAACTCTTTAATGCGATGAAGGCAACCAGAGCGCGGGAGAAAATATATTTACGACAGTGGAATGACCGTGGACCCTATGTGAAATATAGCAACGTATTTTTTTGTTTAATTCCTCATGATTAGACATGGACGAATGTGAGCTTGGACTTGACAACTGCCACGAGATGGCGCTGTGCAGAAACATTGAGGCCAGTTTCCAGTGTATATGTGAGGCGGGTTACACGGGAGATGGCGTTCAATGCTCCGGTAAGATTGATTCAGCGTTAGTTCTCCCAGCAAGATAATTAGAAGCTAATTATTAATTAAAAAGATAACTAATTACGATTTATCGACGAGACCGTCTGCGGAATGTGATTCGTCTTAACCCGTTGCTTTCGCCATCTTCTGCAGATCTGAACGAATGTGATGAGGGACGGGACAACTGTGATATCACACACGGAAGCTGTTTCAACAACGATGGCAGCTTCACGTGCAGCTGTGACACAGGATTCACGGGCGATGGCGTCGACTGCTCAGGTATATACACCGGCGCATTGAGGAAAGAAATGGTGATGTATTGTCACACGCGGGCTGGTATATAACACACATGATATTAGGCACTAGTGTACCTCACGTGTAATTACGTTATTGTTTCTTCGCTCTATTATAATATATAATATATGTATTATATATGCATATGTGTCTGTTATCTATCTATAAATCTCTAAATGATATATATATATATATATGCATACAACATTTACAGATTTGAATGAGTGTAGCGAAGGTGCGGATTCGTGCGGAGACAACACGGAATGCCAAAACCTCGAAGGTTCTTTCTATTGTACGTGCAAGGATGGTTTCATGCCTGTCAGCGAGACGGAATGTAGAGGTATGTCGACGACACTAATCTTATAGCTTGATTAGAAAGATATGGTGGGTTGGGAGTAATTGTAGTATATATATATGTTATAATTCAGGCTTGCAGTGACGACATGCACTACAATAGTAGAATAGTTTGTTATTGGCATGAGGTAAATTTTAGGTTAAATTAGATTGACACTAGGTTACGCTGACACACGATGAATTAAGTAGCATTATTGCTTATGTGTCATATCTGTGTAAATAATAATAATATTATAATTTATTGTTCACTATTATGTTATTATTATTATTTATTTTCGTTTTACTCATCGTATTATTTATCTTTTTAATATTTTCTTTCTAATCCTTAGACATAGATGAATGCTTCGAGAGACTTGCGAAGTGTGACGAGCAGGCGACGTGCACCAACACACTCGGTAGCTACGAATGTGACTGCAACGGTGGATATGAAGGGGATGGCGTCACTGTGTGCGCTAGTAAGTATTCCGCTCTGTCTCATCATTACCTGGATGGAACTTACATAGATAGTGAAGCTGCCACTACAGCCTCGTAATAATCTATCTTACGCTGTTAAGCATATTAGGATTAGGCTAATTATACGGTAGCAGACATGGCTTCCTGTTTGCATGGTCATTTCGAATTCGACTTTCAACATTCCATCGTAAACTATTTATGGAACACACTATATTCACAATGTATCAATAGCTTATTAAGTATGCTTAACACGCTGTTGAAAGTATGTGTAATTGTAAATGGGTTGTAAGTTTATGATATACTACGAGGAAATTGCGATTATTGAACTAAAGACAACGCAGATTCATTTTATGGCGGTGGCAGTATGGCTGCTATTACATGGAATCTGTAATATTTACATTTACATGACCGGTTTGATGTCATCCCTCCAACGTACTATTATAACTCCCGCGATAGATAAGTACGTGTAATTCAACATGTCATTGCTAATCACTATCTAATTTGCTGCAGACATCAACGAATGTAGAACAGGCCTGGCAAACTGCCATCACAATGCTAGTTGTCGAGACCTGCCTGGTGGATTCGAATGCATCTGTCGCACTGGCTATGCCGGAGATGGTTTTACTTGCTCAGGTGCGAAATTCTTTCATCGTCTAGTTAATTCCTTCATAGTCATATATATATATATATATTTCGCAGAGCTAAGCAATAAGCCCATATTCCTCCTAGTCTACAACTCTGCATTTAGTAACAAATCCTGACTCTATTATCAGATATTTCCCGTAGACTGGTGTGTATTCGTACGTCATTGTAATTGCCTACTACTTTATAATACTGAGGTTGTACGTTATGCAGGTTTATGTGTGCGCGCGTATGTGCATCACTGTATCAATCGATATATCTGAAGAGTTAAGGTGAAACCTCGCCAGTGGTTTACCTAGTTAGTAAGTTATCATTCCCTTTTCTATCTCTAGATATCGATGAGTGCACCGAACTGTTTCCACCTCCTTGTCAAGAGGGAGCAATGTGTGAAAATAGACCAGGAGACTTTGTATGCTTCCTTGGTAAGTGTTTTACTTTCAGCTCAATTGTACATTACTGGTGTGTTTGAGTGCAGCCAAATTAATTTGGTCAGGTAATGGCAGACGTGTATACTGCAAAGGGCAATCATGTTAACACTAAGTTACTGAATTTGTTTTGCAGAGAGTACACCAGCTACGACCCCGACTCCAACAAGTAAGTGCGCATTGCATTGTATAAGTAGTCATCTGTATATAGCTTGTCCGTACGTTTTGTAGGGTGACAGGTGACGGTGCCGTATGAGCTACAATAGCAAGACCTAATTATACTACACAATCATACCCCCTTTAACGAAGCAGCGTTTCGTGGTTTACCTTTACTTAACAGGAAAAATATTCAGGAATATACTGCTTAAGAGAAGATCAGTCAAACATTAATGAAAACGACCTGACGGTAACATTCTTAGTCGCCATGGTAATTCGCTACCTCAGGAAGGCGTCTAGTCTGTTAAATGAGTCATGATCTTATGTCGATTTCCATTTATTCATAAATTACAAAGCAAGCACGATATTACCAACAAAAGGTAAACCTGATGTTACGGGGCCTGATCTTATCACAGATACAACAGTCACATGTGAGTCATGGCCAAAGGCTAGGTATAATGTATATTCTCTGTAGGTTATTCAATCTCTCATCACAATTCTTCAAGTCAGTTGAGGCCATGGAGTATAGATTATGCAAGATGTAAACTTTAACACTAATAAAAGTTTTGCTCTGATAGTCAGTAATAATAAAATATAAGCGTAACTTGTAAAGCTTATCCTATTAAACATGTCTGCAAAGAAGTTAAGAGTGAATCATAGATTTCATAGAATTGATAGAATAAAATTTCCATATAATGCACCAACCTATCAACCAACCCATTTGAGAAATTGCCACTTATTGACACAAAAATTATACGGTTTTGTATTGTTCCGTGACATATGCATTCACATAAGCTCACTGTATTTATTTAACAATTCTAGACGCAAGTATATTAAAATTCAACATCCGCATCACCATCTTTCGACATCATTAAATAATAGGCGTTTTAAATTAGATTAGTGGCAATTTACGCAATACTGCACATATACCTGCACATATACCTGCACATATACGTGCACATATACCTACACATATACCTGCACATATACCTGCACATATACCTGCACTCAAACATATCAACAGTCATGCATGCCCTCACTCAAAATATGCAAATAGATACAAAAGCAAAACACGCATTACACACGTGGTCGAAAATCAAAATCACATGTACAAACAAGCAAACCTTAACTCTATTATATTAAAGTAAACACGCAGTTGAGATTGACTTTTATCATATAAATGCGACAACATAATATTATTGCTGTTTGTTATTTTATGATTTTTTTGGTTGTAATTATGTGCAGTGTTAACAGTTTTATTATTATTTCATGTTATTAGCAAGTTAATTTATTTTGTTTTTTTAGTGACGAATCAGGGTGCTAACTTGATTTAATGGTTAACCTATTTTCTTTTAATTATAATATCGTTTTTTTTATTAATAGTCAGATACTATTTATTTTATTACGTTTGGTTGTTTATTTAAACTTCAGCAATAACAGGAGCACCAATACAAATTAAAACTCCAACTGGAACAGGACCTACAGAAACTGGGCCAACTCAAACAGGACCAACTGGAACAGGACCTACAGTAACTGGACCAACTGGAACTGGGCCAACTGAAACAGGACCAACTGGAACAGGTCCTACAGTAACTGGACCAACTGGAACTGGACCAACTGGAACAGGACCAACAGGAACAGGACCTACAGTAACTGGTCCAACTGGAACTGGACCAACTGGAACAGGACCAACAGGAACAGACCAACTGAACGGTCCTTACAAGTAACCTGGACGACAACGAACTGTGCACCAACTGGCAAACAGACCAACCAGAATCAGGACTCTACAAGCTAAGCTGTCCAACTGAACTGGACCAAACTGGAATACACACCCTTACAGTAAGCAGCCCAATTAACTGGAACAGGTACCAACTTTGGAACACGTCCTCATAAACTGGACCTCAACTGAACTGACGAACTATGGAAGCAGGACAACAGAACAGGGTAACCTACAGTAAGCAGGATCCCCCGCCTTACACGTAAGACGCCCAAGCTGAAACAGACCTACAGTAACCAGGCCCAACTGAACATGCCCAACTGGAACAGTACTATACAAGAACTGGACAACTGAACTGCCAACTGAATACAGGACCAACTGGAAACAGGTCTACAGTACTGGATCCAACTGGAAACTTGACGCAACGGAACAGGACCAACAGGAACAGTACCTACATTAACTTGTCGCAACTGAATCTGACAACTGGAACAGGGCAACATAAACAGGTCCCTACAGTAACTGGACCTAACTCAACTGGATCCCAAAACTTGGAACCGGACCGACAGTAACTGGACGCAACCCGAACAGAACAACTGAATCAGAACTACATGAACATTCAACTGGAACTCGACCAAACTGCAACAAGGACCTACAGTAGACTCGGACCCAACTGAAAACAAGGACCTTACAGTAACTGGACCAACGATAGCAGGACCAACTGGAACAGGCACCTACAGTAACAGGTCCAACCTGAATACTGACAACTGAACAGGAACCTACAGTAACTGGACAACTCGGAACTGGGCCAACGAAACAGGACCAACTGAACAGTTCCCTACTAGTAACATGGACCAACTGGAACTGGACAACTTGGAACAGGACCAACAGGAACAGGAACTACAGTAATGGTCCAACTGGAACTGGAACCAACCTGAACAAGCCAACAGGAACAGTCCTACATTAACTGACCCAACTGGAACTGACCAATGAAACTGACACGTATCAGTAACGGACCACCACTCGAACAGGACCAAACTGAACAGGCACTCTACCAGTAACAGTCCTAAACTCGTAACTGACGCCAACTGGAACATGACCCTATCAGGTAACGACTATCATAAGGTACCCGGTAACCATCGACCCATACCACAACAGACTCTTACAGTATACAGGTCCAAACTGAACTGGACCAACTGAACAGGACTACAGTTTAACACTGGGCCAACTGGAAGCTGTACCAACTGAAAACATACCAACTGAACTGACCTACTAGTACGCTGAACCAATCTGGAACCGACGCGACAGAACTGGACCAACGGAATCAGGCAAACTGTACATCGACCTATCCACAACTTGGCACCAACTGTGCAACATGACCTACAGTAACAGTCCAACACCTGGAACTGGACGCAACTGAACAGGATCCTATCTCCCTACATTAAGCAAGGACCTACAGTAGATCAGGACCATACATTAACCTCCGTCCAACGGAACTGGACCTAACTAGCAATAACTGATCCAACTGGAACCAGGACCAACCGCCCAGGACGACCAACTGGAACATGGGACCTACAGTAACATGGTCCCAACACTGGAACACGGATCAACCTGGAAGCAATGTCCTAATCAGTAACTTGACCAACTGGACTGACACAACCTGAATCAGGCACTCAACACGAACATGGACCTAAGTCAGTAACTGTCCAACTGAACTGATCCTAACTGAACAGGCCAACTCTCGAACAGGTCCTAACAGTCAACGGGCCAACTGGAACTGGGACGTCAAGCTGAACCGGAGACTCGACAGTAACTTGGCACCTCAACCGGAACAGGACCAACTGGAAAGACCAACAGAACAGATCCAACTGGAACTGAACCAACTGGAACAGGAACTATCAAGTAAACTGACCAGACTAAAACAGTACCTTACAGTAACTATGGGCCACACTGGAACTCGGACCAAACTGAAACAGAGACCAACTGCAACTTGGACCAACGGAACCGACCGACAGTAACTGCAACTGGAACAGGGCCCAACTTGGACACGACCTCAGTAACTGGACCAACTGCCTAAAGGAACCTACATAAACTGGACCAAACTGGAACCGGCGCAACTGAACTATGGCGCCAACTGGAACAGGAGCCAACGGAACAACCTACAGTAACTGACCAAACTGAAAAACATGACCTACAAGTAACTGGGCACACTGAACTGACCAACTGAAGCAATCGGAACCCACACTGGCAACTGGAGCCTAGTACAGTAACTGACCCACACTGAATCCCGTGACCGCGACAGTAACTGACCCAACTGAAACAGCGGCCACTGAAAACAGGACCTACAGTAACTGGACCAACTGGAACAGGACCAACTGGTACTGGCCCAACTGGAACAGGTCCAACTGGAACAGGACCTACAGTAACTGGACCAACTGGAACAGGACCAACTGGAACAGGACCTACAGTAACTGGACCTACAGTAACTGGACCAACTGGAACAGGACCAACAGGAACAGGACCTACAGTAACTGGACCAACTGGAACTGGACCAACTGGAACAGGACCAACAGGAACAGGACCTACAGTAACTGGTCCAACTGGAACTGGACCTACAGCAACTGGACCAACTGGAACTGGGCCAACTGAAACAGGACCAACTGGAACAGATCCTACAGTAACTGGACCCACTGGAACTGGACCAACTGAAACAGGACCAACTGGAACAGGACCTACAGTAACTGGACCCACTGGAACTGGACCAACTGGAACAGGACCTACAGTAACTGGACCAACTGCAACAGGACCTACAGTAACTGGACCCACTGGAACAGGACCTACAGTAACTGGACCAACTGGAACTGGACCTACAGTAACTGGACCAACTGGAACAGGACCTACAGTAACTGGACCAACTGGAACAGGACCAACTGGAACAGGACCAACTGGAACAGGACCTACAGTAACTGGACCTACAGTAACAGGTCCAACTGGAACTGGGCAAACTGGAACAGGACCAACCGAAACAGGACCTACAGTAACTGGACCAACTGGAACCGGGCCTACAGTAACTGGGCCAACTGGAACTGGACCAACTGAAACAGGACCTACAGTAACTGAACCAACTGGAACAGGACCAACCGGAACAGAACCAACAGGAACTGGTCCTATAGTAACTGGACCTACGGGCACAGGGCCAACTGAAACAGGACCTACAGTAACTGGACCAACTGGAACTGGACCAACTGGAACAGGTCCAACTGGAACAGGTCCTACAGTAACTAGACCTACTGGAACTGGACCCACTGGACCCACTGGAACTGGACCAACTGGAACTGGACCTACAATAACTGGACCAACTGGAACTGGACCTACAGTAACAGGACCAACTGGAACAGGACCAACTGGAACTGGACCAACTGAAACTGGACCAACTGGAACAGGACCTACAGTAACTGGTCCAACTGGAACAGGACCAACTGGAACAGGACCAACAGAAACTGGACCAACTGGAACAGGACCCACTGGAACGGGAGCAACTGTAACTGGGCCTACCGTAACAGGACCTACAGTAACTGGGCCTACGGTAACAGGTCCAACTGGAACAGGGCCAACTGGAACAGGGCCAACTGGAACAGGACCTACAGTAACTGGACCAACTGGAACAGAGGCAACAGAAACAGGACCAACAGTAACAGGACCAACTGGAACAGGACCTACAGTTACTGGACCTACTGGAACTGGACCAACTGGAACAGGGCAAACTGGAACAGGACCTACAGTAACTGGACCAACTGGAACAGGGCCAACTGGAACGGGACCAACTGGAACTGGACCAACGGTAACAGAACCTACAGCAACTGGACCAACTGGAACAGGGCCAACTGGAACAGGACCAACTGGAACTGGACCAACTGAAACAGGACCCACTGGAACTGGACCAACTGGAACTGGACCAACTGGAACTGGACCAACTGGAACTGGACCAACTGGAACAGGACCTACAATAACTGGACCAACTGGAACTGGACCTACAGTAACAGGACCAACTGGAACAGGACCAACTGGTACTGTAACGAGTGGACCAACAGGTAATATCCAAATTTGAAACAAGGCACCATATTAGTATTTTGTTCGAAAAGTTTCTTTGTTGTAGCGTATTTATTTGGCTGTACACAAAATTTGGTTCTTACTTTTGTTTACTAATGTGGATTTAAGTTGTCCTGTTACCCAATTAACTCAGGCCCCCAATATGATATTAGGGTACCATATATTGATATTGCATGCTGCATTACAGTAACAATGACCATGAGTACACCCGACACTGGCACAGCCCCAACCGGCCCAGAATCAACTGGTAGGGAATGAGTACTGAACACGCTGTAATTGTGTTGCCTTACAAGACACTGTCAACAACTTCGCTTGCATCTGTAAAATTTGACTTTTGCATTGTTCACCTTTATTTGCGTATTACTAGGTAGCTCTACAAAACAAACTTGTTAGATATTTACAGCGTTATGAAATTTTTTTTAGTTCTGTTATAAAGTTAACCAATTTTCATCGATATGTCATACATTTAAGGCAAGTATAATGTTGTTAACATGAGCATTGAATTTTATTCTATGCTCCCACACAGCAACAGTGACAGGAAGCACCGGAACTGGATCAACTCCAACAGGTTCAGAGCCAACAGGTAGGACAGCATTTACCAACGTATTTAACTACTGTAGTGTATAGTAAAGACACAAGAAAACGTTTATTTTACTGTAGTGTACTAATAACCTCATTTATTTGAGATGCCAATCGCTCATGAAACCGTAGCCATTCCTACTTTTATTTCCAATTGTTATTATTTATTTCGACAGATTTAAACATTTGTTTGGCTGTGATTTCGATTTATTTCTACTTTTCAAAATGTTCATTAACATTACATTTTTTATACATTTATTTTACTTTCTCCTGAATTTTATTTGATGGATAGGTTTATTTACTTGAGTTACAGTCACAGGTCCAACTGGAACAGGACCTACAGTAACTGGACCAACTGGAACAGGCCCAACTGGTACTGGCCCAACTGTAACAGGTCCAACTGGAACAGGACCTACAGTAACAGGTCCAACTGGAACAGGACCAACTGGTACTGGCCCAACTGTAACAGGACCAACTGGAACAGGACCTACAGTAACAGGTCCAACTGGAACAGGACCTGTTACAGTTGGGCCAGTATCAGTTGGTCCTGTTCCAATTGGACCTGTTTCAGTCGGTCCAAACTGAAACA